GAGAGCTGCAGACATCCTTTAGAATCCTTTAGAATGGTGAGGTGCTGAACTTTGTAAGGAATTATTATAATGTTATCTCAATGGAAGCTGAGACCTTTCAGTTCTCTGCCTGATTACATGTGAATGTCCAGATTTGGGAGACTTTTCTCATCGTAGTTATTGTCAGGTTGAGTTTGCTCAACCAAAAACAGTCAGTTGGGTTAGGAAAGGCACAAAACATTTATTCCTGTACTTATCATGTGTCAGATATTCTTGTAGCTGTTTTATGGGTGTTATTCCTTTGAATCATCTGAAAACCCTGCAGTATTTGTCATGCATTATACTGAGGATGTGTGCATTACCTTATCACTGTTGCATGATTGTCGGTAACAGATGATAACTGTAGTATTCTTATCAGTTTAGAGGAGAGAACACTGAGGCTTAGGATAGGGAACTTGCTTCAGATCACGCAGCGCAGGCTGTGAGTTCACAGCACCTGTCTCCATCTGTCTCTTCTTGTTTTATCTAAGTCCACACAAGAGTGAGCATAAACTGGTACGTGGTCCGTCAGCCACAGATGAGCGAGAAGAAGTTGTGTGTGGCTTTGGAATTAAATGACATACACACGCCTTGCCCTTTTCCCCGGCTTTCCCTGCCCTGCGTTAGCCTTCTGCCTTGTCAAGGATCAAGAATGGGGGTCAGCATAGGACATTTGCCCTCATGGGGAGTTCAGCATGGGCATCACGGGAGGTGGCTGGCTCCCTTGGAAGAGACAACCTCCAGAACACCTTGGCCTTGCAGTCAGGAGACCTGGGGTGAGCTCTAGGTCTGCCTGTCACAGGCTCTGGGACCTTGGGCAACTCCCTTCACCTGAGCACGTCCTGGCCTCACTACCAGTAAAGTGGGGCAGTGGGGTTAGGACTGGGGTTTCAGCATTCAAGTTAGGGATGCTTCTCTCAGGTCGCCTAGAGGAAGCTGCTTGTCTCAAAACTGACATCCTTGTTGGCTCCTGAACCCCAGCGCAGAGTGTAATTGTAGGGGGTTGGTTTTCTCACTCTGTGAAGATTCTGGGGAGGTTGAATGCTGGGGATGACTCAGCCACCCACGAGCCCGATTCACCGTAGCTCTGGTCCCATGGGACCCTGAACGGCAGGTCTGAGAATAGGTTCATTCTGCACATTTCCTCCCAGTCACTTCCCTCTTCTCTCCTTCTTACAGTGGGGCTTTGGGGAGGCAAGAAAGGGTCAGAGGCGATGGGTGACATTGGAACTAAATGCCTGCCAGGGGCAGTTCCCACAGATTCAGGCACTCTCTCTCATCTCTCTCTGAGGGAGTGCCGTGAAATTTTGTTCTCAAATTGCTTTAGATTTACTTCAGATGTATCCATGATATTTTTAAGCAACACATTTGTATTCCTAACAGTATTTCCCTTAGGTTACATCAAAATGAGTCTGTAATCCTGGGGTGAGGGTCCAGGCTCTGTTTGTTCTTCTTTCGCTGATAAACCCACCAGCTAATTGCGCCCAAGCGGGTAGGTGTGAGTCAGCTCTCGTGCCAGCCTCTCACACCTGCGACTATTGATGTTGGATGGCCGGACAAAGTATTTTCACAGATTATCTCTTTCAAACCCCCAGGTCCTGTGATGATACTATTATTACCCTAAATACAGATGAAGAAGTCGAGCTTCCGAGAGAGACAGTGACTTGCCCAAGACCAGGACCCGGCTTCAGATCCTACATTTCAGTGGCTTTCAGAGAACCAGTGAGCTGCCACCTGGGAGTCAGTGCCCAGGCCACCCTCTCAGGACAGGGAGCTATAGATAGGCATTTAGTCCCCACTGGGCGAGACCCGTAGGGTGGCCTGGTTTTGCCAAAGCCCCAGGCCAGAAAACTGGGCAGTAGGAAGACCCAGGAGACGGTGGGGGTCAAAGAGGAGCTGCACTGGCTTGAAGGAAAGGGAGCTGGAGTTTTTGATGTTTCCACAGCACCTAGGAATAAGAGCCCATCTGCAGGGAGCTCTGCGAAGCTGGGGACTCTGGCTGAGACAGCGGAGAGGCGGGAACAGGGAGGGCCCTGGACAGGCAAAAACATTTTGTCCTCGAGCCTTCTCAGTCTGTGCAAGACAGGAAATTCCTCAACTCTCCTGAGGCAGCCTGCTTCCCTGGCTACTGCCACTCAGTCAGAGAAAGGAGATCTCTGCATTTCCAATGTTGGGCCCCCGGAGCCCACTCCCAGGGCCTTCTGCCAAGGCCAAGGCTGCCAGGCTGCCCCCTGTCAAAGGCAGTGATGCCAGGGGCTGGGGCAGGATGGCTCTGAGAGCCCATCCTCTGGTCATGGGCCCTGTCTTCCCTTGCACTCTGGCTCCACGCCCTTCACACGGCACATGCCTTAGGGAAAATTGTCCTCCTACCTACCTGGTCTTCCCAGCCTCTCTCTCTCGCCTCATTCCCAGAAGCCATGCTGGGTGTGCTCTGCAGTGCACCATATTTTGTTTTCAGTGCCAGCAGATAAAAATCTAGTGGCCAGTTTGGAGTTAGGCCTTTCCCAGGTATGGAAAGCACCCTGGAAATGTGTCCTCATGGCTTCAGGCTTCCAGGAGAAGGTCTGGTATGTGTGGCTCTGTGCTAAAAAGAACTCAAAATACCACAGTCCCTCTTCCCCCAAACTTAGAGTTTAACTTAGAGATACCATAGCCTTCTTGGTCCCTACCCCTGCCCCCCTCCCCCAAAGACAAAAATAAGAAGGCTAACAAAGAGTTATTGAAGGTCAAAGCCACCTGGCTCACAGGACGAAGGGCAGGATCAGAGACGGGGCAGCTGGGAGTTTGCCCTGCACGAGGGCCATCCTGTGTGGGAAACAGACACCAGCCCAACCTAACCTTACGGCTCCTTCCCCTGTGCGGCTCACACGAGGCAGGTCAGAGCCCGGCGCAGGGAGGATTCTAAGAATAATGGAAAGCCTGTTTGTTAACCGATCTCCCCAGCGAATGGAGTGGGAGTGAGTAGGCCAGCCCCGAACCCAGAGAGCTGTTCTAGTTTTCGTCTTTGTCTAGCCCGTGCACTCCTTCCCCCTCCCAGAGAGAGATTCCGCCACCCCCCCCTCCCCGTTTTGGTTGTACAACAAACTGCATATATTTATGGTGTTTAATTTGAAGCCTTCACCCATGAAACCTTCACCACAATTTTAAAAAATGAACATCTCCATCATCCCCAAATGCTTCCTTGTTTCCCTTTACAATCCCTCCCCAGAACGCCTGCCCCAAGCAACCTTTCTGTCGCTATATTTTGCATTTTCTAGAATTTTATGTCAATGGAATCATCCATTAGGTACTCTTCCTTCGCCTGGCTTCTTTCGTGCAGTGTAATTTTTGTGAGATTTGTCCCTGTCGTAGTGTCTCTCATTAGTGCCGAGTAGTATTCCATTGTACGGGTATATCATAATTTGTTTATTCATTCACTTGTTGATGGAATATTTGAGTTGTTTCCGGTTTGGGGCCGTTAGGAATAAAACCGCTATGAATGTTTGTGTGCAACTCAAAAATGTATGGATACGTGCTTTCATTTCTCTTGTGTAAATACCCAGGAGTAGAATGAATGGCTCACATGCTAAATGTATGTTTAACTTTTTAAGAAACTGCCAAACTGTTTTTTTTTTTTTTTTTGCAGTACGCGGGCCTCTCACTGTTGTGGCCTCTCCCGTTGTGGAGCACAGGCTCCAGACGCGCAGGCTCAGCGGCCGTGGCTCATGGGCCCAGCCGCTCCGCGGCATGTGGGATCTTCCCGGACTGGGGCACGAACCCGTGTCCCCTGCATCGGCAGGCGGACTCTCAACCACTGCGCCACCAGGGAAGCCTGCCAAACTGCTTTTAAAAGGCTCTGTACTATTTTACACTCGCACCAGCAGTGTAGGAGAGTTCTAGTTGCCCCACATCCTTGCCAGACCCCAGTACTTAGGTTGATCCGTCTTTAATTTTAGTCATTCTAATTATGTAGCATCTTTGCCTTTCCTGAGGTGCTTAAAATCTCAGGAGATGGTAAAGGAGCACCATGCAGTCATAGAAAACAATGAGGAAGCTCTCCAGTTCTGTTCTATGAGAAACATCAAGATATAGAGTCAGCCCTCATGGGCTCTGCATCTGCGGATTCAACTAACCGCATATCAAAAATATTCGAGAAAAAAAATTTCAGAAAGTTTCAAAACGGGAAACTTGAATTTGCTGCACTGGCCACTCTTTACATAGCATTTACATCGTATTAGGTATTATAAGTAATCTGGAGATGATTTAAAGTATACAGGAGGGTTTTAGGTTTTATGCATTTTATATAAGGGACTGGAGCATCTGCAGGTTTTGGTATCTGCAAGGGGTCCTGGTACCAGTACCCTGCAGATACTGAAGGATAGCTGTATTGTTAGATGAAGAAGCAAGATGCCAGTCATTGTGTATAGTGTGCTATCATTTTTTTTTAAGAGAAGAAAAATTAAAAAGTATACCTATATGCTATTGTGTGTTATACACATGGACCATCTTTGGCAAGGTGAACAAGGAACTGAAAATAGGTTGCCGCTGGGGAGAGACATTTGGCTAGAGGACAGGGGTAGAAGGGAGATTGTACACATACCCTTTGTACCTTTTGAATTTTATGCTATATGAATGTATCACTTATTCAAAAGAGTAAATACAATTTAAGGGGGAAAAAAGTCTCATAAGGTGCCAAGTTTTGGCTCCCCCACTCCCAGCCTCCATCCCCTGGAAGTGCTCCTGGGGAGCCAGAGCCTAGGTTGGACATGGCCCTACAGAGGCCTCATCCTTTCCTGCTGTGAGGCAAGAGCACTGTCGTACCACAGGGAAATGGGCACGCCTTGTTCCTAGGCATCTCCAGGGCCTCCCGAGCTCCTTATCTGGCAGCGGTCAGTTTCTGGTGGGAACCTGAGCCCCAACACATTCATGTGCTGAGTGCTCATTTCGTCTGTGTCTGCGGAATGAATGAGTGACTGTTCACCCCACATTCTTTTGCCACGCAGAAAAGAAGAGTGACGAGAAGAGTGAGTACCTCCTGCCCACGGCCTCCAGCAAGCCCGTCGCACCTCTCTTCCTGCAAGGCCTCTCTGATCTCAGAGTCATGGACGGGAGCCAGGTCACCATGACAGTCCAGGTGTCAGGTCTGTCCCTGCATCTCTGTCCCCGGGGTATACGTGAAAACGGGCATGGTTGCAACATGGGCTTTGCTTCCCGACATCCCGCTCAGATCACTGTCTACCAGAAAGGCAGCCTAGGACTGTCAGTCAGTGGGCCCAAAGAAGTGGAGCCTCTTGGTCCCTCTCTTCTGCCTTCTCTGGGCTGGATTTTCTGGATTCGAGGTTAAGTGGTCCAGGGAAGAAGATGGCCATGCTAGAGAGGTGAGGGATTAACTGAGAACATAGTATGGCCAATGTAGCTGGAAGATTGTGAACACAGGTCCAAAACCAGATGATGTGAGAACTTTCTAACCCTTGGAAGGTAAGTCTCAGTTGCTCTATTCAAATGTTAAGGTGAGAAGATAGAACAGGGGTCCTTCTCAAATGGGTGGGGTGACACGAGTGTGGGATGAACAGCCCAGTGAGAGATTTTACTGTTTTTGCTAGAAGCCGGCAAGCGAAGCCTGCGGAATATCCTGGGACAGACTTACTGACGCAGGCTCATGCTGGCCTCTGATCAGTCCCGCGACAGCCTGGAGGTCCTTTCTGGTTTTTCAGTTCCTTTTGAGTTGCAGAAGCGATAAAGATGAGTTGGGAGAGAACCCATGGGCTCACCCTTTTAGGGATTCTAGGATGAACTCCCTGCTCCCGAAGGCTGAAGGCAGTCCCGGGACAATGCAGGCAGAGGCCGGGTCCCCTCCCCTGCACGTACTCCTCGAGTTGATAGAAATCAGAGGCACCCTGCACCTGGCCTCCAGACACGTGCTGGCTACCCCATCAGAGACGGATGGTGGTCTCCTCTGTCCTTGAAAGAGCTTGATACCACGCAGCCTCCCTCAGCAGCCGTTCCCGGGGACTTGCTCCCCTGGAAGCAGAGTGCAATGGCTCAGCTCTTTCTGCAGAGGAAACCCTCACAGGTGGCCATTGTTTTATGCCCAAACAAATGGCTAGAAGCTACCTGGGGAAGTAGACTAGTAAAAGTGAAAATGCTCTCCACCATGAGCTGGGTTTAGAAAGCCTGGTACCCATCTTCACCCTTGGACAACATTTGTATGGTAGCAAAATGAAGTGCTAAGGGAGCTTTCCCTTGGTGAAAACTGACAAGGGAGTTTCTCTGAAGTCCCCATGGCATTGCCTGGGCATGTACACAAGGTGTGAGGTGTGCACAGCAGGAAACAGTGTGGAACCCACTGATCCAGCTACCACTCAGCATTATCAAGCAGTTTGAATTCTAATTTTAAAAACCATTCTTCTAGGTTTCCTCTTTTATCTCTGAAGTAATATTTTTCACTTCTGGATTCTTCCTGGTTTCCCCAAATCCGTTGTTAAGTAATTACAATGAACATGCATTGAGTACTTTCTTTGTGCCAGATGCTATTCTAATCAGCGTTTCTAGTGGGCTGCTAAGGTATTCATTTATTTAATCCTCCCAGTGAACCTTTGAGATAGATAGGGTTAGAATATGTTATGGATGGGAAAACTTATGCAATACAACGTCATAGTATTAAGTAGAGTTGCTGCACAGCCCGGGTAAGCACCTCCCTGACGAGCTCCCCTGCCTCTCCTCCCTGTTCAGGGAACCCACCCCCTGAGGTCATCTGGCTTCACAACGGGAATGAGATCCAGGAGTCAGAGGACTTCCACTTTGAACAGAGAGGCACTCAGCACAGCCTTTGTATCCAGGAAGTGTTCCCGGAGGACACGGGCACTTACACCTGTGAAGCCTGGAACAGCGCAGGAGAGGTCCGCACCCAGGCCATGCTCACAGTGCAAGGTGAGGCTGCCCCGCTGACCAGTGGCGGGCAGGGGCAGGGCAGGGAGGCTTTGCTGCCATGGTCTCTCCAAAGGTGATTTGGAGGCGAGAAAAGCACGTGAGTTTACTTTGTCCCCACCACGGACCCCACGCTCCCTGGGTCCCATCCCAGCCCCAGTGGCAGCTCCCCATCCTACATCTGAGGCTGTGGCTGAGTGGGTCCTCCTTTCCCTACCTTCTGAAGCTCCTGCCCTCTCTGCGGTACTGGTGTCAAGCTTCGGAGAGTGCTGGGAGAGATATCTCCTAACACACTAACTCTTTGGCAGTGACAGATGAGTTACGGCCTATGATGGTCCTAGCCTTGAGAGAACCCATATTTAAGAGGAGAGACAAATTAAGCACGCATGAAGCAAGTGACAACCCTTAATCATACACATGTCATGCAGATCATTGGCACCTATCCCAGTGCCCCTGTACCTTCTGGACAACCTCCCCATGCTTTGGATATACAAATTCATGTTAATATTATCCTGTGAGAAGTAACCAAGACAGATTTGCCATGAGAAGGATGTGCTCTACCTGTATGTTCAATAAAAGTGATTTCTGGACAAGCTGTTCTTTGGGTAACACTCTGTCTTCCGACCTTCACTGCCATGGAGAGTTGAGTGAATGCTCTCTGCTGAAAGGCCTCCCTCTCTAACTCAATCCTTTGCTAACTTCAGAGCCTCAGGATGGCATCCAGCCCTGGTTCATCAGCAAGCCCCGCTCCGTGACAGCCTGCCTGGGCCAGAGTGTCCTCATCTCCTGTGCCATAGCTGGGGACCCCTTCCCCACTGTGCACTGGCTCCGGGACGGCAAAGCCCTCTCCAGAGACACTGGCCACTTCGAGGTGCTACAGAATGAGGACGTGTTCACCCTGGTTCTAAAGAACGTGCAGCCCTGGCATGCCGGCCAGTATGAGATCCTGCTCAAGTGAGTCTGCGTGACCTGCCAACCCCTACCCCCCAAATTCCTACCTCCCGGCAAAGTCCCTACCTGGGACTGGGAAGCCAGAGGAATCACAAAGTAACGTGGGGTTGGGCTTCAAGGTAAAGAGTGCAGGATTGGTGCTTCTGCTTTTGTTTTTTCCACTTCAATACAACAGAGGTTCACTGAGAGCCTTCTCCTCTGAGCTCAGTTCCCCAGCGTCCTCTGTCTTATTACATCCTGGCTTTTGTTCCCCCATTATTTGGTATATGAAGACTAGGAAGGAGGGAAGATGGATTCAAATTGGAAAAGCAGCAGGATAGAAGGAATGTATTCATTATCTATTGCAGAGTAACAAATTACCCCCATACGTAGCAGCTTCAGACAACAAACAGTTATACTCTCATAGTTTGTATGGGTCAGGAATTTGAAGCTGCTTAGCTAGATGAGTTTGGGCTCAGGGTTTTACGTGAGGTTTCAGTGAAGATGTCAGCAGGGGCTGCTGTCTCTGAAGGCTCGACTGAGGCTGCAGGGTCCACATCTATGATGGCTCACTCACAGGGCTGTTGGCAGGAGGCCTCAGCTCCTGGCTGTGTGGACCTCTTCCTAGGGCTGCTTGAGTGTCTTCATGACATGGCAGCTGGCTTCCCCAGAGTTGGTGGTCCAAGAGAGAGAACGAGTTGGAACTTGCAGTGTCTCGTATGACCTATCCTTGGAAGTCACACACCATTAGTCCTGCTACACCCTCTTTGCAAGAAGTGAGTCGCTAAGTACAACCCGTACTCCAGCGGAGGGATATTAAGTTCCACCTCTTGGAGAAAGGAGTATCAAAGAATTTGTAGACATTTAAAACCACTGCAGGGACGTTAACTCTCCCCATTCCTTCTTCCTCCCTTTCAAGGTCTTTCTAGGGAACATGGGAAGGTAAGCTCCATGAAGGCACACTGCTGTGTTCCCAGTGCCTAGAACAGTATCTGCCCGTAGTCAGCATTTGGTAACTATTTGTTATATGAGTGTGATCCAGAATTGTTCTTCTACCTTCAAAATGTTCTAACTCTTAAAATTCCATGCCAACCCTGGGTTGACAGAGACAGAACGCCAGCCCCTAGGGTTGGTATTAGCATTGAAGAAGAGCACTTGTCTGCCCCTGGACTCTGCAAACAGGTTGTGCCACGTCCTGAAGATGGCTGGACTGCTCTGGTTCAGGTGCCTGGCCACTTTGCAAGGGGCTTGCTCTCCTGGATCAATCATTTCCCTCTGCTGAGCCCATCATGTTCAAGTCTCTGAGCTCTGTAGCAATAGGGCAAAGCTACTGCCAGGACGGAGCATTGTTCCTACCGTAATGACAAAACCCAGCGTGTGCTCCATCTGCTTGGGTCCTTTCTGGGCATGTGCTTTACATTTGCATCATTAGCTTTCGCTGCATAACAGATCATCCCAAGACTTAGTGACTTTTAAGAAAATACCCATTTATTATTCATTGGGCATCTTTGGATCTGCTAGGGAATTCTACTTAGCTGGGCAAGGCTCAGCAAACCTCAACTGAGCTAATGACATGTCTGTGGTCAGCTGATGAGATGTTCATGGGCTGACTGGTCATCCTACCACCATCAGCAGGATGCTCAGAGCACATCAACGGCCTTTGCCTCGTGTCTGAACCGTTTATTATCAGGAAGGCCGATCTGCCTCCAAAATGGAGAGAAGATCGTTCCTTCTTCCTCTAGGCCAGTACAAACAGTGGAAACTGATGGTATGCTAGAATAGAGCTTGTCTGTATGAAAGGAGTGGTGCTTTCAGATAATACTCATGTAATCAAGCTAGACATCCTAGAAGAGATGAGGTTTTTGTGGGATTCTGGGGCAAATGAGTAAAGTCTCGTTGGATAGGCTGAGCACGAGAGGGTAGGAAAGAACAAAGCTAAGGCTGTGGGAAGTCTGCCAGGCCAGAGTGGAGGGTTGCACGGGGAGGTCAGCAGGCAGACTGTCTGGGCCCAGCGGGGGACAGTCATAAAACTTAGACTGTCCTAGCTGGAAGGGACTTTAGAAGTTATCTAGCCACCTCCTTGTTTAATAATGGGGGAAGCTGAGGCCTCAGGGTCACGGGCACCCAAAGGTGAGTAGCAGAGCCTAGACTGGAAGCCTAGCTCTGTCTTTAAATCAGATGCTCCTCCATTCTTTGTTTCAGTGCACTGGGAACTTGGGAAGCCTGGGACATCGCACTAGGGTCCCCACACGTGCAGCCCTTGCCCCTTTTCCCTCCCCAGAGTCCAGCCTCTTCATTCCTTTGGGAGGCTGCTGCCCTGGCCTTGGCTTTGTCCCCAGTGAGAAGGAGCCAGTCCGTGGAAAGTTGCCCTGGGGAGTGTGTGCCAGGCCTGCCAGGGGGCCCGCTGCCCTGTGGCTTTTCTCAGACCCAGACCTAGAGAGAAACCAGACCTAGACCAAGGACAGAATGCCTTTCAAGGAGGGAGACTAGGAGGCTGGGAGGAAGCCAGGCTGAGGGTGGGGGTGGGACAGGTACTCTCTGTCCTGCTGAAGTTGGGGGTACATACGGGTGGTTGGTTTCTACCTCCCCTTCCCTCCCCTAGCCCTTGTCTTCTGAACTAAAAGGGGAAATATCAAAAAGTCAGCTCCAAATTCCAGCTGAAATATTTCAAAAATTGATACTTGCCAGGAAATTAGTTCTTTAAACTAATTTTGCATATAAAATCCATTCCAGGGGTGGGTGATTCAGAGTGGGACAGCGTCCAAGGCTTTGTAACCAAAGACTGGGGCTTCTTATTCAGGGTTTAGGAGGCAGGGAACACAAAGGATTCTGTTAGTTGTAAAAGGTACAGCTTACAGGGCGACAGCCGCATGTCCTCTGTGGCAGCACCTGGGCTGTACATGGGGGTCGCGCCTCAGTCTCAGGCCTGACTTTGTAACTGAATACAGTATGTGCAGGCACCAAAGAGGGCCAAAGGGACTTCCCTGGTGGCGCAGTGGTTAAGAGTCTGCCTGCTAACGCAGGGGACAAGGGTTCGAGCCATGGTCCGGGAAGATCCCACATGCCACGGAGCAATTGGGCCCGTGCGCCACAACTGCTGGGCCTGTGCTCTACAGCCCGCGAGCCACAACTACTGAGCCCGCGTGCTGCAACTACTGAGGCCTGTGTGCCTGGAGCCCGTGCTCCGCAACAAGAGAAGCCACCACAATGAGAAGCCCGCGCACCGCAAAAAGGGGTGGTCCCAGCTCACCACAACTAGAGAGAAGCCCGCGCAGCAATGAAGACCCAACGCAGCCAAAAATAAACAAATAAATAAAAAAAAAAAAAAAAGAGGGCCGAAGAGGCTGATCAGCTGGTTAGGTTATCTGGGGTGTGGCTTCCAGGCAACAGGCCTCTCTGACCTTTGCAGGCTCCAGAAGAACCCAGGATTAGCCTTCAAAGTCTAGCAGAGACTTAAGTTTGTGGCTGCAGGCATAGTGACCCCCATGCCAAGGAATGATATACATAGTGGGCCAGCCATGGTATCCCAAGTTCTCTACTCCCATCTGCCCCCTCAGACTGCCTGGGTACCTCAGGATGAGGCCTGGGGAAGGCCACCTGTACCTGCCTCCTTCAAGGCAGGTAATAGGAAACAACAGAAGTGCTTACCTGCTTCCCCCATGGGGAGATAGAGCTTACTCCAGCTTGGGAGTCAGGGCACCCCACCATTTAGAGCCTCTGAGGGGCTTGGCGAGGGCACAGCAGGGCTATCTGGTCAGTGTCTGCTCCTGAGTTTTGCACCTGGGCTGTGTGCTACTTGTGAGAGGAGGAAACTCAGCTGAGGAGGTGTCGAAAAGGGCTCCCCAGAAAACATGGCCCTTGGGCATCTTGTTGTCCTGCCCCACGCCAACCCCAGGCCCCGTACCCTGTGCTTGAAAGAAAAGCGGGAACAGAGTGGGCTCTACTGGCCAGCAGCCTGGCAGAAGGGGGGTGCCAGGGGGCTGGGCCTCACCCCCAAGTGACCTCCCATGGTTGACCCAAGCCCTGTTAGCCTTCTGTGCTGAGTTCTCAGGATGCTCTGAGGGCCTCCCAGCTTTCCCAGGGCCTGACACTGAGGAGGCACCTAACTGCTGTTTGTGGAGCACAGGAGCACCCTGGGCCCTCAAACTCCCCAAACCTTGAATCTGCACCCCCAAGAGCTTGAACATTGAGGAAGGTGACCAGGAGGTGAGAGGAGGGTTAGGGAGCACGAAAGATCAACCTCTCCTCCTGTCATGTGGGTCCCAGTGTCTAGGAGTGAACAGTGACCCCCCCGGGACCCTCAAGAGTCATCTGCCACACAGTGGGCTGCTGGGGCCTGACCCGGAGCTGGTCCTCCATTGGGAGGGAGGCCAGGCAAAGCAAGGTAGATACCCACATGCATCGGCAGAGCTACGGGACACATGCTCAGCTCTCTGTCCACGTGGGGGTGACATAACACACGTTCCCAAACATGGGCCTGCAGGCACAGGTGCCCATCAGGTGGAGCCCACATGCCTGCAGTTGATACACACACACACACAGACACACACACACACACACACACACAGACACACAAACACACACATGTCCCAGAGTAGATTTGTACTGAGCAGCAGCCAGTAGGGTGGGATGGGAAAGTTACAGGTCTTGGATTCAAGTAGACCCAGGTCCCAACCCCTTCCCCTGCTAGCCAGCTCTGTGAGTTTAGGCAAAATTACTTAACCTTGATGAACTTCATTTTTCTTACCTATAAAAACAATGCTGGGCTTCCCTGATGGTGCAGTGGTTAAGAATCCTCCTGCCAATGCAGGGGACACGGGTTTGAGCACCAGTCCGGGAAGATCCCACATGCCACGGAGCAGCTAAGCCCGTGCGCCACAACTACTGAGCCTGTGCTCTAGAGCCCACAAGCCACAACTACTGAGCCCACGTGCCACAGCTACTGAAGCCCGAGCACCTAGAGCCCGTGTTCCACAACAAGAGAAGCCACCACAATGAGAAGCCTGCTCACTGCAACGAAGGGTAGCCCCTGTGTGCTACAACTAGAGAAAGCCCACACACAGCAACGAAGACCCAACACAGCAAAAAATAAATAAATAAAAACAAAACGAAAAACAATGCTGACCCCAACCTTTCAGAGCTGCCATGAGTAGGTGAGATGGATTGTGTCTACGGTAGGGTCTGGGGCATGTGTCAGCCCCTGAAGTGCAAGTAAGATGGCCAAATGCAGGGAATGAGTGCGAGACCCCAAGAGCCCAACACTGCATCCCGGAAACTCCTGGGCTTCCCTTTCTTCCCTTTGCAGTGAATGAGCAGAGCAGTGCTCTGAGCCTCACTGGGCTGTGTGGGGAGAAGAAAGATAGTGGCTGCAAGTCATGAAGGCTGGAAGGTGCTGCATACAACGTGGTTATTATCAGGCAGAGTCACCTTTGCCTCTCAGATCTGCCCCTCCACTTCCCCTCGTCTGAGCAGAACCTTCTTGGCTGGTCAGAGCCCAGAAATGCCAGCAGGTGGCAGCCTTGTGGGGTCAGAGGGCTGATCTGCTGTAAGCCCAGCACAGCAAGCCTGGTTGCAGCCCCTTTCCTGAGCAGAGGGGCCTCAGCTGGTCATGAAGAGCTTTAACAATGGGCTGAAGAATCCGGAGCCCTCTCCACCCAATGGAAGAAGAAAATGGGTCACCCTTGTAGGGAGATACCTGTTAGGTTTTTAATACGAAAGGTTCTGATCTGAGGGCATTCGCTGATGGGTAGGGATTGGAGGGTATTTTCATTTCATGAGCAGGTGAGGGGGACCTTAGCTGCTCCGTGGCATGTGGGATCTTCCCGGACTGGTGCTCAAACCCGTGTCCCCTGCATTGGCAGGAGGATTCTTAACCACTGCACCATCAGGGAAGCCCAGCATTGTTTTTATAGGTAAGAAAAATGAAGTTCATCAAGGTTAAGTAATTTTGCCTAAACTCACAGAGCTGGCTAGCAGGGGAAGGGGTTGGGACCTGGGTCTACTTGAATCCAAGACCTGTAACTTTCCCATCCCACCCTACTGATTGCTGATCAGTACAAATCTACAGGTAGGGGCACCTTGTGAGGAGAAGGAATAACCACCCCTGTATTAAGGGAGCATGGAGCCAGACTCAGGGTCACTGGGCAGGCTGACCGGGGCCACACAGTCTAGACCAAGGGGCTCCATCCCAGCCCTTAGCTAGTCTTCACTCTTCCTTGACTGAGTGATGGATTGATCGTATAATTTTTGTAATATACTTACATAAAAGTAGTCCTACTTCTGTATGCCTACTGTAGCTATTGCCCAGAAGATTCTTTTTTTTTTTTTCTTTTTAAACAAGAGCTGGAAAAATAAAGCGTGACCAAAGTGGGGGAGGGCTCTGCCCTAAATCTAGGTCTGGTGTGGGTGTGTTAGGGTCACAGCTTAGCCCAGGGTCCTGTCTTCCCTGGGGTCAGCCAGCCAGCCCAGGGCCAAGTTCCTGCCTGCCCCGCCCTCCTCACAGCCCTAGGCTGGGCAGGCCCTTGGCCCAGAAAGCCTCTTGATCTGTACTGATCCCTTGAATTCTTCAGGAACCGGGTTGGTGAATGCAGTTGCCAGGTATCACTGATGCTACAGAGCAGCCCTGCCAGAGCTGTCCTGCGGTGAGTACCACCCAGGGGCTGCCCAGCCAGGCCCCGTGCCACCACCCGCCCACCTTCCTCCTGGTCCCAGCAGGCCCGGCCCAGCAGCCCCAGATTGTTTGTATCCTCCAGGAGAGGCTGCCCGAGCCAAGAGGGAGAGATTGGAAGGGGGATGAGGGAGGGAGAGCCGGGGAGGAGAGGGGGGTGAAATTTTTTATTTATTTATTTTTTTTTGGCATGCACCCTTATAAGGCTACTGAAGTCATTACCGATGTAACAACCAACGAAGCAAGCAAGCGCCTCTCACCACAGTTCCCTTCTATAAACACGGCCTGGCCAGCCCCCTCCCCCCGCCCTCCTTCCCTCCCTGGGGATGTGCTCTCCCCGACGTCTCTTTCTTACCCAGCCCCTTTTCCTCCTGCTACTTTCCTTTTTCCCTTCACTGGTCGCAGGGGAAGGGAGCCTGCCAGCGGTGAGGGCCTCTGCAGCCGGGGAGCCGGCGCTGATGGTGGTGGCGGTGGCGGCTACGGGAGCCTGAGGCCCAGCTGGCCAGCAGGAGGACAGGGCGGGCCCGACGAGGGAGACGGCGAGGGCGTGCGTGGGGTGCTCACGCGGCGTGTGGAGACGCGGCAGCACACCGAGGAGGCCATCCGCCAGCAGGAGGTGGGGCAGCTGGACTTCCGCGACCTCCTGGGCAAAAAGGTGAGTACCAAGACCTTGTCTGAAGAGGACCTGAAGGAGATCCCAGCCGAGCAGATGGATTTCCGCGCCAACCTGCAGCGGCAGGTGAAGCCGAAGACCGTGTCGGAGGAAGAGCGGAAGGTGCATAGCCCCCAGCAGGTGGACTTCCGCTCTGTCCTGGCCAAGAAGGGGACCCCCAGGACCCCTGTGCCTGAGAAGGTGCCACCTCCAAAACCTGCCACCCCAGGTTTCCGCTCGGTGTTGGGCAGTAAGAAAACGCTACCTGCAGAGAATGGCAGTAACAGCTCTGAAGCCTTGAATGCCAAGGCAGCAGAAGGTCCCAAGCCTGTAGGCAATGCCCAGCCTTCAGGGTTTCTGAAAACCGTGGGCAATGCGAAGCCGGCCGAGACTCCCAAACCCTTGAGCAATGCGAAGCCGGCCGAGACCCCCAAACCCATGGGTAATGTCAAGTCAGCTGAGACCCCCAAACCCTTGGGTAATGTCAAGCCGGCTGAGACCCCCAAACCCATGGGCAATGCCAAGCTGACTGAGACCCCCAAACTCTTGGGCAATGCCAAGCTGACTGAGACCCCCAAACCCTTGGGTAATGTCAAGCCGGCCGAGACCCCCAAACCCATGGGCAATGCCAAGCTGACTGAGACCCCCAAACCCTTGGGCAATGCAAAGCCGGCCGAGACCCCCAAACCCTTGGGCAATGCCAAGTTATCCGAGGCCCCAAAACCAGCTGGGAATGAAGAACTTAAGAAGGAGGTTAAGAATGATGTGAACTGCAAGAGGGGCCATGCAGGGGCCACAGATAATGAAAAAAGACCCGAGAGCCAAGGGACAGCCCCAGCCTTCAAGGAGAAGCTACGAGATCTCCGTGTGGTGGAGGGTGAGAAACTGCTGCTCCAGTGCCAGGTGTCCTCTGACCCCCCGGCCACCATCACCTGGACCCTGAATGGAAAGACGCTCAAGACTACCAAGTTCATTGTCCTCTCCCAAGAAGGTAACAGGGTTGGGGCCGGGAGGAAGGGTAGCTCTGTCCCAGCCACCGTCAGCTCCTGGAGCCCTGGCTTGTTGATGGTGTTAGTAGCCCAGAGCCTGGGTGGGAAAGGCCACTCTCTGTGCCCCTCACTCACGGGATTGGTGCCCGCCACACTCCATGGCTGGGGGACAGGGGTGGGTGCCTGGTCCCCCAGGCACATTCCCAGATCTCGGCATCTGTCTGGCAGAGCCCCCTCATGGCACCCCTAGGCGTGGCTCCTCAGAGCAGGCCTGGGCTAATGCCCAGCTTTGGCCCAGAGAAGGCTCCGATCATAGGCTTGGAAATGGGGGCACTGGGGTTAGGGCTGACCAGGGGCTTGGGGCTGAGAACTGCCTTTGAAGCAGCATTTTAGGTTCAGGTCAGGGTGTGCAGTGACGGGATGTGATTTGGGGTCAACAACTTAAGTCTTGATAACGTTGTGTGTTTGAAGGGACCCGAGGGGCAAGCCAAAACCCCAAGCAGCCCCTACGGCACACACTCACAGGCAGACAGAGCCACTCGCTTCCTAATTTGGATGAGACTTTCGTTTGCTGGTATTTCACATTCTTGGGTTGTGGAGAGAAGAGGGGGGGCCCTAAAGCCTGCCATCTGGGGCCTTTCAGGGTTTGGAGCTCTCAGATGGGCCAGTTTAACCTAGAGAAGAGATGGGGACGAGACGGGTATTTTCTCTGACCCCTCATTTGGTTTGAAATGTTTCTGTAAATCCCAGTCCTGGATGGGAGCTCCAAGGACAGCAGCCTTCCCACGCCCCACTCTGGTGGCCGGCCCTAGGGTAGAGTCTGGCCTGACTCGAGGCTGATGCTGGTAGCTCTGGACAGGGCAGGGCACAAGCTCCCAGGGTCGTGGCATTTTAACCTTGAGGGGTAGAGGGCAGTCAGGGCAGAGGCCCTAGCAGTCAGGTCCTGTCAAATCCAGATCAGCTGAGACAGAAGCACTCCCCCCGCTGTGCTGCCTTCCTTCCCGTCCTCTGACGGCACCCCTCTCCACCCCTCCCTCACCCCTCATCTGGCTTTCTTTCTTCCTCTTAAAAACCCTAATGAAGCATTTGAAAATGGCATCCCTCTGCCCTCGCGATGGAGTTTCTGTCTTCACTCTGCAGCTCAGACAGCAAATCTGGAGCAGCTGAGCGTTCTGAATCTAACTGCTGAAGGAGTAAAGGGGAAATTAGCCAGGAGAGAAAAAAAGGGTGTCTTTTCTGCTAATGTGTTGACACGATAGCTTTTCCCCATGAAAATCCTCAGCTTGGTAGGGGCCTCCAGAAGTCATCTCATCCATCCCCCTGCCTCTGCTAGTTCGGCCTTTCCACACACAGGAAGGTATGGGGGATCAGCACGGTGGGATGAGATGTCCAGGGGAGTGGATGCCCAGCCTTCCCTGCCACCTCTGTGTGCCCCTCCCTGTTGGAAAGTTTCGGGTAAAACTGACCCGAAACCTCGACCAGGAGAATTTCCCAGGTTACCCTGTGGTGACCTCTCGGGGCGGGACCGAAGGTGGGCAGCTGCCGTCGTGGGGACACGTGTGGTCCCACAGTCCTACACGCTGTGAGGTCCGTGGCTGTACCACCCTCGGGGAAGCTGATGTCGGGACGGCTGAGGGCAATGCCCATGGCTGTGCAGCTGTTGTGGGACCTGCGTGGAACCTGCAGAGCCACCAAGAGCTGCCTATAAACAATCAACTGGACAAAGCAGTGTAAGCACACCTCAGCTCTGGTCTCAGAAACGCACCTGAGCCCTTAGAATGGGCTGTTCATACCCAGGGTGCCTTGATGTAGCATAGCTGCTGGGTGCCGAGACCCTTTTACACTGGCTACTCCAGTGTCACCTCCCACAGAAAGCACCTCAGACGGACCCTTTAGGTCTAAGGCTGGGGAAGAAGACATGATTAAATGAAGGCCAGGACAATGAGAGGATAGAGAGAGACTGGGGCGGGGGGGGCGGGGGGGAATTATGGAGATAGCCCCCAAACCAACTGTTAAAAAGGTTCTAAATATTTGTAATTCTCCTTTGAAAAATAAGAGTAGCCTGCACTAATTGAACACCACGTGCGAGACACTGACTGAGGCATCTTACTATGCTTTTCACTCATTTAATCCTCACAACCACTATACTGCCCATCTAACAGAGAAGTTAAGCGCTTTGCCCAAGGCTGCACAGCTAGTTAGTAACAGAGCTGGGATTGGAAGGCAGGCAGCTGAGTTCCAACGCCTAGACCGCTGTGCTGTATCACCTCTTAGTTAATTCTTGTTAGCGTGTCAGCATCCTGGTCCTTCCCTAATCAGCTCCCCAGAGAGTGTTGTCTATCAAGGGAAAAGGCTAATGGCTATTTATTCCGCAACACTGTCAACAGTTGTCAGGAGGCTGGAAGACTGGCCGTGCCCTCTGGGCTTGTGAGTTTCTGGTATTTTCACTGCAGTAGAGGAAGCTGACCTTGAAACGGGCCTGGTAGGGAGAAGGCCTGGTCCCAAAGCAGCAGCCACACTGTGTCCACTGTCCCTTCTCTAGTGCTTCCCTGTCCAAGTCTACAAGAGCCCAGGTCAAACACAGACCCAGGAGAAAACCTGTGGTAGAGCCTCGTCAGTGACCACTTCAGGAGGCTCCGCTGCAGGGAGTGGGACCTCCGAGAGGTATGAGTAAATCTGCTCCCGATAGATCTGGAAAGAGAGGACACACATGCACAGCGATAAACCTCTTCCAGCCAAGTGCCGATGATGGCTGCTGGGGGTGAGAGGAGAGGGAGCTGAGTGCTGGGCCGCAGGGAGAGGCTGGCGGTGAAAGAGCAGGGCCTTGATCTGAAGTGTGAAGGCAGGCAGGGCCCGCAGCAGGAGAGGGAGGGTGTGGGCTTCCCAGGCAGGAGGACAGGCGGCAGCCAAGGCAGGCCGGCTCCCAGCATCGGCCCCGTTGCATCCTCTATCATACTAAGAAGGAACTCAATCCTAAAGGCAGCAGGGAGCCATGTAAGAGTTGGGAATGGAGAGCAATAGACACAAAGCTGGGGTTTACGGCTTTTGATTGATTCTGTGCCCAAAGACAAGGAAGGAGCTTACCGAAGAGGGTGGGGAGACAGGTGGTGAGGCCTGGACCAACAAGGTAGCCATGGGCACAGACAGGAGATAACCAGTGCAAGAAGCAAAGGCAGAATTAACAGAACCTGTTGCCTGGCTTGGAAGGGTGGGCGGCTGGGGTGGAGGAGAGGAAGGGGTGGAGGAGCGCTGAGTGTCCATGTGTGGGTGACTGGTTCACAGTGACGGCACCAGTGGAAACAAGGAAGGCAGCTGGTGTTTTGAAGGGTTTGTAGGGAGAAGGGGGGTTGCTAAGTGGGTTTCCCCATCCTTCACACCCTCCTGAGCATCCCCTCCACCCCCGCCTCCCTGGCTCGGAACCGTACTTGCTCCACTGCACTGAACCCCCTTCTGTTACCTCATCTAAGATCAAAATTCACTTCCCCCAGGACTCCTTCCCAGACTGTTGTCCCTGGGGCCTTTGGCCATGACAGACTCTTGTGCCCTTCCCCCATCAATGTGTGTGTCTGTGACCTACTGCTGGTGGGCACTGTTGATAGGTTTCAGGGGTGCTTCTCTGAACCCTGTACTTGAATAGGGCTCATAGCCCACAGGCCCCCCAAAACATGATTATGTCCACTCTGTCTAGCACCAAGGAGAGCAGGAGAGGTGTGATGGCAGGCAGTTGAGTTGACTGTTCCTTCTTGGAGGGACCTGTGGAGGAGTCCTTGCTCTTCTTGCGTCCCCCGGAACGGCAGGGCGGAGGGTGCTCACTTACAGCAGCTGGGCCTGCCCTCCAGGCCTGCAGGCTGGCCTCACCAGGCCCTTTCTGGACCCGCAGCAGCGCTGCTCAGGCCTTGGCCCAGGACTGGGAGGCCCATGGCTGGCCAGTGGGCTCTGCGCTGCTCCTGAGAAGTGCTTTCATCTTTATGCCTTGTTTCCTGTCCCCGGGCCAGGCTTCTGTCCCTGGCAAACATTTCTCCCCATCTATGAATGAGGATTCATTTTTGTTGCTGCTGTCAACCGATGATTCATTTTTAATTGCCTTCAGTGTGGGATCTTGCAAAGGCTTTTTCAAAACCTGTATAAGTCCATCCTACAGAACACAAGGATCTATACAGCACCTACTACGTGCGAGGCTGTATTCTAGCCCTTTTCATTGTATGCATAATCCACTTGAAGAATTCTGAGTTAGGCATTTTTTTTTTCCTTTTAGAAACTATACTATCTTTTTCAGTGGTAGGTTGTTTGATTAAGTGTTCGTGACTTTCTGTTGCATAGATCCTACCAGATCACCTGCTCCAGAAATATGCCTTGGACATTCTCAGAATGGCAAATTTTTGTTTTTAAACTGACTGCATTCCAGGCTCAGGAAAAACATTCATAATAGTCGCTGCCCTCCATGATCTAGCGTGGGAGAGAGGCGTGTGTTTCAGTAATGGCCTTGGGAGGCAAGCTCTGATAAAGGTGAACTCAGGGCACAGAAGTGGTCCACCTACGGCCAGGGGTGCTTAGAGATGGCAAGGAAGGCACCATCCCTGAGGAGGTGACCTGGAGCTGAGCTGTACTGTCCCGGCATGCCGGGGGACCAGGTCGGGAGACACTGCTGACTGAGGGCAGCCTCGGAACAGAGCCTCTAGGGCTTGGGACCCCTCCCTCTACCTCGTACACCCCGCACCTCCTCTCCCCACACACTCAGAGAAAGCACAAGACGGTGGGGTGGTCTTCAGACTCTGTGGCCTTGAGGGGCTCTCCCAGGGACCGGTCCAGCTGAGCCCTTCATTGGATCCCTGGTTCCCATCCCCCTCCCCTTCCTCTCAAAATTCCCCACCAGGCTGAGCCTTCTCAAAAAAAACTCTGGGAAACAGTTTTTCTTCTGGAGGTCAGGAATAAGCTGTCCCACAGGAAATACCAGATGCTTCGATCTGGGCCAGCCCAGCCTCCAGGCCTGCCGGGGGCCCTCCCCCAGCCCGCGCGCACGGCCAGGGGTCCAGGCTCTGAACGGCTTGGAAAAACTGCCTTTCTGATGCTTTCCCCCCCCCGTGAAGGGCAAGGGCTGTGGTCTACATGCTCCACCTCTCCCGGGGGTCTCACTACTGTTTTGTCCCATTTGGGTTTAAGGCTGAAGGCAGCTGGGGGACTGAAGCTGAGAGACAATCAAGGATTCGACCAGGATGTCTGCTGGCAGTGGGATATCTGCTCCCCGAGCCTTAGCCTCAGACTGAGGGAAAATGGCAAGATGGGGTCCGTTTCTTCTAAGCCTCACGTCTGGGGGCCGGAGGTCATCTGCGCATGCCCCTGCCCTCCCAGATGAATGGAAGTGTCTCTCTCTAGAAGATAGTAACCCTCGTTCCCTGATTCCTGTGCCTCATATAGTTCTCACTCTCACCACAGAGTTCCTAAAAATCCAACCTAAATCCTTTCTGTTGCAGCGTCTGCAAATTCTGTCTCCTAGCCACAATGGGAAGAGATCCTGAGGCCTTGCCGACCCCGGTGGGAGAGCATAGTGAGGTCCTTCTGAGAGGTGGGGTCTCAGAGTGTAGGAGGGAGGGGCGCAGATCAGCCATCCTGCCCCAAGGGGTCGGCAGGACTGAGGTTTCCCTGTTGAAGACCTTACCCAGGTCTCCTCCAGCCTTAGTGAGGTTCTCTGGGCAGAACTGACATCACCCTTCCTCTCTCTGAATATCCTGGTATTTGTTGGTCAAGTCTGTGCATCTGTCTCATGGGGGTGCGGGGACTTTTGAGATCAAAGGCCATGCTGCTTCGCACACACACCTGGGATGCACACAGCTTTGCCCGCTCAGAGCCAGTGACTTGTGCCGGGCAGTGTGGCGGAAAGGGAGGTGGCCGGAGCCGGTGGCTCCAGGCGGCAGGATGCACGTGGCTCTGGCTGTATCCTCCTCCTCGTATGATGACGGCTGCCCTGACGACAGGGCAGCTTTGGGCAGGACGCCGTGCTGCTGGCTTGTGTGTGTGTCTGATGGCAGGAACGAGGGTACTGCTGCTCCTGCCTGGCCCAGCGAGCCCAGTCCTCAGCCTGGTGTCTCCCCACACCCTAAGGGAAACTCCCCAAACGTGTCCCCCAGGGAAGTAGCCAGCCGTGGGATGAGAGAGCTAGGATGGGTGAGGACCAGACTTCTGTTCATGCCCAGCCTGACCTCTCCTTCCCCCAACCAGGCCAGAAGAGGTGTGCTGGGGCAAGGGTAGCTCCGTGGAAAAGAAGGCCATCACTCTCTGAGGGGACCAAAGGACCCTGCACTGAGAGAGGCAGCCCCACAGAGGCCCTCTCCCAGCCCAGCGCCCCTCATCGGCCATGATTCTCAGCTCAGATACCATTCCTGAAAAGCCAGCTCCAGGGTCCCAGGCTGGTCACTGTCTCCTCCCAACAGATCAGCCCACAGGCCAGTGTCCCTGCTGGACGGGGGCTCCTGCCCTCCCCTGCTCACCTCTTTGTTCAAAATGCCCTTTTGTAGGATGCATTCCCAGAAGCATTGCTGTAAGCAGGGCAGAGTGTCCTCACCTGCCAGTGTCCCTACCACAGTCTGTGGACCTGAGCCTGACTACTGCTTGTCTCTCTCGGTGACATCCAGTGTGAGGGCCTGGGTCCATCTGCCCCTTCTATTGTGCTGATGCTCTCCAAAGGCAGAGGCTCTTTCTCTCTCTTCTTGCCTTTCTATCACATCCCCGTGAGAGAACTTGCCTGGGTCGGGGGCGGTTGGGTATACTTAGGGATCAGTTATTTTGAATCTGGGTTATCAGCAAAGTGCCTTGGCTCTGGTGGGGCGAGCAGGTTGGTTCCCACAGGGCCTCTGACTTCTGGGCGTGTGAATAACACTTGCTCTGATGCTCCAAGTGCCCGGCAGGTGTTGGGCTCAGACCTGGTCCACTCAACAAACGTTCCTCTTCCCACCCAGGCTCACTGTGCTCCGTCTCCATCGAGAAGGCACTGCCCGAGGACAGAGGCTTATACAAGTGCGTAGCCAAGAACAGCGCCGGCCAGGCTGAGTGTTCCTGCCAAGTCACCGTGGACGGTAGGTCGTGCCCTCCCACCCCTGCCACACGTAGAATCCCGCTTCTCAGCGCCCCTGCCCACCGTACCTGAACAGGGCTGCAGCCGAGGCTGCCATCCCAACCTGAGGCTTTGTGGGTTCACTTTGTGGGTGACCAACCATCTTTTGCAAAACAATGAGCCAGGAAGGAAAGTGGGAGCTCTACTTGGTGGTCCCCTGTGACCTCACAGCCCTGCCCCCGGCTGGGAAGAGGGCGGCTCACCTTGCTGGTCCCCCTTCCCCAGTCCTGACCCCCACATGCCAGGCAGGAAAGGGTGAGACAGGGCAGGAGGAGAAAAGACACACCCACAGGAAAATGACTACAGAGTATTTTACAAGCCGCAGAGAACAAGTGTCAGTGCCAGCAGGACAGACCCGTGAGGAAGAGGGAGCAGAGCGAGGTCCAAGTGGGGACACTTCCTCCAGGAGGTGAGTAGGGGCTGAGGCTTCGGGTAACGGGGACAGGCCTGCCTCTGCAGTTAAAGAAAAGTACTCATGATACAGCAGAGGGAGAGGAAGAGACGCGTGGGGACTGAGAGGCTTACCAGGTCTGAGTGGTGTTTCTTGTGAGGAAGGGGCGAATCCAAGCTGCAAGGAATGGGGATTTGTCCTAAAGAAATGCAGGTAGTGTGTTTGTGACTTTCCTTTTCTCCTCTGTGTAGGGTTAGAATAAGAGGCTTGGAAGTAGATGGTTTAGGCCACCACCCTCACTTGGGACGGGACACCCAGGCTGTTCAGAGAGGGAAAGCTTCCCTCGTGAGGTTCCCTGCTCTATTGAGGGCCAAGCCAGGGCCAGAGTCCCATCTTGGGACTTGCAATCCAGTGCCCTTTCTTGGTATTTCGTTACTTGCCTGGAACTGTCTAAAAAGGTAGTTTGGGGGAAACAATTTCTTGCCCTTGAAATGCCTGGTTAGTAACTATCAGTGACACGTTAAAAGCTAGTGTCCAAATAAGGCATCTTGAAGACCAGTTTTGTTGTTCCTCTGACTTTGAATATAATCACTTGGCTTCTAAACCCCTAACCTGTTTCACCCCCGTTCCACAAGATGTGGAATCCTTGTCTCCATTCTGGATTTTGTAATATGGTTTCCTGATCATAAAAGCTGAGATCCGTGATACCTAATGAGTGGGAGAAAAGAAAAGAGAGTCTTAAAAACCAAAGTCTTTTTTAAAAAAACATATAATGGTAACACAAATTAAATTGTCAGTAGCCAACAGTAAACCTGAAACTGTAGAATATTGTGGGTGTCTCCCTGGAGTTCTGTGAATGTGTTTGTCACAGGGGCTCTGGAGTCTAAGGGAGCAGATTCCATGGGTCAAAGTGTATGGTCAGTTCAGAAGGGGGCTTGAAACACATGTTTTGAGGCTAGGGGCCGCTGCTTCTGATTACTCCTGTCACCCACCCAGGTCAGAGTTCTGCTTCTTTCTAGACAGGTACTGCAATTGAAAACACAGTGTTTCTGGGAACTTGACCCCAGAAACCTATTTCTAGCAGCGCCACACTTGGGACCCATGCTGGTTCCAGAAGGAAGCCCTGCCTGTTAATGAGGTTATCTGCTTTGGGAATCCCTAGCCTCTTTGGGTCCTATTTACATGGCTAGCTGAAGGCAGGACTGCAATTCATTCTCCTTATCTGCAAAGTGTCAGCACCTTTTCCAGAAAGAGCAAATGGCTCATTTTTTAAAATTTTTAAAAATTTCCTTTTTCCCTAGAGAATACATTTGGGGATTCTTTTTTTTTTAAGGTTTGGGAATTCATTCTGCAACTTAAAGGGCTTTCTTTGCCCCTAAATTAGTCTCCTTCTAATCTTGGCTATCATAATGTCCCCGATCCTCTCAGCTCTCCCCGCACCCTTAGGCGAGAGTACCTGGCTTAGAGGTCCCAATGGGCCCATGCACCCTTTGATATTATAGGCAAACTTTTATGTGTTTGTGGGTTAGAGCATTTTTCTGAAGAAAGGGTCCACACAGGTTTTAAACAAATTCTTAAAAGAAGTCATGAATTAAAAGACAGTGAAGAACCGCTTGCCCTAAGAAGTAACCTTGCCTGAACTTTGAAGCCTAGCTGTTGGGCAGGGTCTTCCATTGCTCTCCATCTGCAGCTGCCCTGCTAAACCTCTGGATAAGACCAGTCTTGCTTCCCTCCTAAGGGGCTGCAAGGTCCTTCTCGTCTCGGGGTGGGGACCACAGCTAATGCTGGTGTCAGGCTGGCCCTGCCCCCGACAGTCACTCACTATCACTCACGTAGCCTGTGCTGGACACCATTTAGACTACATATCTATGGCTAATAGAATGATATATTTCAGGACCTCATGAAAATGACTTTGGCTCACTGGCTGTTCCGTATTAGCCACACTACTACTTCCCTCTTATAGGAAAGACAGAGGGAGGTAGCCTTCATAATGCAGCACATCTGGCTCTTTTAATCCTGCCATTTGGGTTGTTTCTATAAGAAAAAGCGTGCTCTGTGCACTTTTTTTTTTTTTTTTTTTTTGCGGTACGTGGGCCTCTCACTGTTGTGGCCTCTCCCGTTGCGGAGCACAGGCTCCAGACGCGCAGGCTCAGCGGCCATGGCTCACAGGCCCAGCCGCTCCGCAGCATGTGGGATCTTCCCGAACCCGGGCACGAACCCGTTGTCCCCTGCATCGGCAGGTGGACTCTCAACCACTGCGCCACCAGGGAAGCCCTGTGCACTTACTTGATTATGGTCATACCGCCGTTCCTTCCAGGTTAGCAGCAGACATGTCAACTTGTACCACAGAAGGCAGCTGAAGCCTGGGGTGGGTAAGGACTTGTCAGAAAACTCACCCAGGAGGAGAAAAAGCTGACCTTCAAGACCTGCCATGGCCTGCCGTGGCCAGAAACTCTTGTGCATTTTTAGTTTATGCAGCAGTTGGGCAGGGCATCTTTCTCAGTGGGAAAACCCAGGCTCAGCGAGGGTCAGCAGCCTTCCCCAGTCACTCAGACAGTAAGCAGGAGATGCCGTTTCCCTGGGTGTCTCTGATCCCAAAGCCCAGGCCCTTCGAGCCACCCTGCACAGGGAGTCACATGACTCCCTGGCATGAGTTACCCTGGCAGGACTCCAACCCAGGTGTGTCTGGTTCCAAAGTCTGCACCTTTCCACCACCTGCATGGCCTCCCTGTCTAGTGAGTAACATGGCAGTGTCCACTTTCCGAGAGATCCAGGTCTTCCTTACTAACAGCCCTTCTTGCTGGGAAGTCCTTCTGCACCTCTGGCCTGAGTGGCCCACTCCCTCTCATTCAGACCCAGGTGAGAGGTAAGGAAGCAAAGCCCTTTGTAGGCCCAAATCCCAAGACCGGGCAGATCAGGCCGCCCTTCCCAACCACCTTGCCAAGGGCATCGGGCCTCAGCTACCAGTGAGATCAGGGGCTTTGTAACCATGGAGGCTGGTGTGTGCATTTGGTAGGGGGTGGCGTCCCCATGGGCCTTCTCTCAACCCGTATGTCAGTGCCCGCTCTGCTCCTGGGGCTGGGGTTAAAAGCAGTGAACGAAACAAGTTCCTGTTCTCAGAGCCTTTACATTCGAGTGAAGGAGAGACAAAAATACAGATGAACAGTTATCTCAGGCAACAACACATGCTGTGAAGAAAGCAAAGCAGGGTGATGGGGGAGCGCGCTGTTGTTGGAGAGGTTGAGGCCTCTCTGAGGAAGAGGCATTTGAACAGAGGCCTGAAGGCATCTGGGAAGGCGTCCCAGCAGTAGCACGGCACAGGTTAAGGAACAGGAGCAAAACCCTGAGCTGAGACTGTACGGGAGACACTCCCAGAAGGAGAGGTAAGGAGGCCAGGGTGGCCGAGCCCCGGGCCAGGGGCAGAGTGGTAGGAAATGAGACTGAGGAGGACCAGATCTGCAAGGCCTTGTAGGCTGTGACCAGGACGCTGGATTTTATTATAAGTGCGGTGGGACAGCCCTGGCCGTTGTAAAGGATCACTCAGGCGGTGACCAGACCCAGGAGGGGTAAGAGGGAGAGCAGATTTGAGGTTGCCACGATAGCCCAGGCATGAGATGATGGCAGCTTAGACTCTATGGAAGAGGTGGGAAATGACGAGGTTTATAATGTTTTGACAGTACAGCTGATAAGATTTGCTGATGAATTGGAAATAGAGAGAAAGGGAAGTCAAAGATGACCCTTAGTTTTCGTGAGGGAGCACAGGTGAATGGTGGTACCGCCTACTAAGATCAGGATGGGTAGGGGTGGGGGACAGTCAAGACTTTCGTGTAGGTGAAGTTTCAGGTGTCCATTAGACATCCAAGTGGGCCTGTCGCGTAGGTTGACCTTTAGATGAATCTGGAGTTGAGGAGGGAGGTCGGGGTTGGAGGCAGGACACGAGGAGCCATCTTTGTGAGGCCACTGAATGCCCCGGGAGTAGATGAGGTCCCCAGGGGTGGGTGTGGATGGAGGAGGGAAGGAGAGAGCCCAACACTGACAAGTAAGGCAGGACAGAGGTCTGCGAAGGAGATGGAGAAGGACTGGCCATGGTGAGACAGGAAGAAATCAAGCAGGGAGGGGTGTCCCAGAGGCCAAAGGGTGATCATCTCAATAAGAAAGGAATGATGGAGATCATTGTGTCAAAAGCCTTTGCCAAGTAAAATAAGGCAAAGCCTGAGCCTTAGCCATGGATTTGGTGACTCGGGGCGATTTGCAACTGTAAGAAGGGAGTTTAAAGCCTAATGTGAGGTGTGTGCAGCTAATAACTAGCTGGGTAGGGATTTAAACCCACACCTTGGCTCCTAGCCGCTGTGGTCCACTGCCTCCATGGCCAGGGAGCCCTGGTGACTGTGGCTGAGCCGACCCCACTTCTTTTGTTGGCCTCAGTCTGCTCCCACCCCCATTTGTTCTTCATATGGTCTCAGGCAGCTAAAATGTATTAGGTTGAACTAAATAAAATTGCTCTTTTAGTAGGTCAAAAACACTTGAATATTGGCAAATGGTGTGGTTCAACCCGAAACAGGGGTGTAAAGCACTTAGCATGGTGCCAGGCACGGCCTGAGTACCCAACAAATGCCACCTCTTACTCCACATCTCATTCGCTCCTCTGTTGGGGTGTTGTTATTCCCTGTTTCCTGCTGAAGAAGGTCAGGAACTTGCCCAAGGACTCACAGTCACCGGCCTGCAGAGCTAGGAAGGCGCTCATCCTGGCCAGAGCTCTTTCCCTCCTGATTTTGCCAGCATGCTGCTCGCTCCTGGGCAGAGCGAGCGAGCGAGCGAGAGAGAGAGAGAGAGGCCAGCCCCTCTGCCCTGCCCCCTCCTGGGGCTCCTGGAAGCTCAGACCGCCCCCCAGAAGCCTCCCAAGACCTCACTCCCCCTACCTAGGGTTGCAGCTCTGGGAATGACCTCTCTCGGGGGAGACAGAAGAAGAAATGCTGCGTTGGAAGGCTGAGCCCAGAGCTAGCCCAGGAGTGGAAGGGGTGAGGCATTGTCCATATAAGGACACGTTTTCCTCTCTATGTTGAGGCCACCCCCCCTCCTCACACCACCACCTTCCTCCCCACTGCTTCTTTGGGGGCACCAGCAGACCAGCAAAGAACTCCAGCCCTGGGGCCCAGATCTAGAAAGGGAGTTCAGTTTCATCACAAACTGATTAAAATAGACAGAAAATACATGCTGCTCTTAAACTTTTATTACTATTATTTTTATCCCCTGGGCAGCCATGTGAGCGCAAAGCTGGTTCTGATTAAGCATGTGGTCCTCTCAGCGCACTCCTTGCTGTGGTTCTCACGGACAGACTGATGGCTAGTGGCTCGTGGTGCAGGCGCAGCCCGCAGGGGGCGGGGGTGCTGCAGAGGGAAGAGGGGGCTCGTGGCACCCCTGTGGGGCTCCAAGTCTGGGGGTGTGCCTGGTCAGCCAGGGAAACTTGAGCCCCTCTCCTCACGGCCAGATGGAAGGATAAGGAACATCTACAAACAAGGCTCAAAGCACATGACGGGGTGGTGTACTCACAAGTCAGTGTAAAGCAGGCACCCAAGAGCTGAGGACGGATGAGGACGCAGGAAACATACAGCAGGGGCCCATCCGGGAGGGCTTTGTGAAGGTGGAGGATTCTAAAGCGGATTTGGAAAGGAGGCGAGGAAATGCGGCGAACAGGAGAAATGAATGAACAGGTAAATGATCACCGTCGCACGCATTCTCTCCCTAGAGCCTTGCAGTGCTGTGAGGCAGAGAAAATAAGTGTAGTTTCCCTTGTACAAATGTGGAAACAGAGACCCAGGGCAGCTGAAATCATTTGCCCACGATCCCAGGATTGCTGATGACAGAGCTGCAGCTAGAGCCCTCTTCTCTCCATCCCTACTCTAATGATGCTTGGAAGCAAAGCCCATCATGACCCCACGAGGAGAGAAGGAATCTCAGTCCCCATCTCCTTTCTTTCAGGAGCCCAGGAAAACTGGGCCTCTCCTCCTTTGCTTGCTTATGCCTCAGTTTCCCCATCAATTAAAAAAAAATCTTGGTCCTTCCTTGTCTCCCTCCTCGGATGCCCCGGAACTCACTGGGAAAAAGACGGCAAAGCGAGTACTCATGCCAAGGAAGAGAGGACTGTCTGTGCACACTCTGGCCTCGCCTCCTCTTCCTTAAAAGGGGGGAAAACAAAGACATTTCTGGGTGCGCCTTTCTTTAAATTGTCATTGGTGCTGTCAGAAGTGCTGGTCTTGAAGGAAGGGAAGAAGGGAGGGCCCCAGACAGGGAACCATAGACTCACCCCATGACCTTGGTTTATGGCAGCCTGATCTACAAATGTCAAGGGAAGTGTACCCGCCCAGCCCCTGGTTCTGTGCTTCCGAGCCCACCCCGCAAAGCCCCAGAAGCCCAGTCTAGGCGAGAGCACGTGTTAGAGTCTGGGATTGCCCCACCGTGGAGGCGGGGACAGGGAGATGGCCCTTCCTCCCCAGACAGGCCACAGGAATGTGGCCAAGCGGCAGCTGGAAAGTCCCACCCCTCCTTTCTCCCTCTGCGCTTCCTCTTCAGGAGCAGGAAAAGGATGCACAGGAAGGGGCTGGGAGGGGGAGGCTCCCTCCCAGCTTAGTCCCTGAAGAGAGTTCCTTGTGGGGAAAATGCTGGAGCCCAGTGATAGCGGTGCAGCCAGCCCCTTCTTATCCCGGTCCCAGCAGCTTGCTAGAGGCCAGGCTCTTCTCGGCCCAGTGAGGGCCTTTTCCACCCAGCCCAGCGCTATGTCACCCTGCTGCCCTGACAAAGGAGGGTTTCCCCCGGCATCTTCCACACTGGGCATGAATGGGAAGAGGGGGAGCGGAGGACAGCCCCGCGGAGTGGTGCACTCACCCGGGCAGCATTTCAGCTCTGCCCAGAGGCTGCCGCTGCAGGGTTCCAGTGGCTCTGCTTTGGGGAGGGTGCGGAAGCCCCCACAAGGGCTCCAAGGCTCAGTCCAGAGCCCGTGAGGCGTGCCGGCCGCCTGCTCAGAGGCCTTCATCTGGAGGTCTGGAGGTCTGACTGTCGGTGTCCCTCGGTACAAGAGTCAGAGACAACAGGCTGCAAGCCCCCTCCAGACCATGAGCCCAGGGCAGCAGCCCATCCCCTGCGTCCCCTGTTCAAGAGACCTCTCTACACAGAGTGGGCTTTTGGAAATCCAGAATGTTTAGCCCAAGTGCGTTAAGACCCAGTGAAGGGAAAAGATAGGCACTGGTGAGCAGAGGGGCTCTGACTGTCCCCCAGCCCTGCCAGTGATGCGATTCTGGCGGCCCGTGCCTGCAGCAGAGGCGAAAGCGCTACCCAGCTCCCAGGGTAGCCTGTCCATCCATCTTCAGGGCAGCTGTGCTCTGCCCCTGATTTATAAGGCTGGGTGGCGAGGACACTCCTTCTTTGGTGCTCTTGAGAGGAAGGTGCCTGGCCTGCCCGGCAGGCGCTGAGGGCCCTCAGAGTGGAGCCGGGACGGGGAGGACCTGTTGGGGTTGAGGTGGGATGTTTATCGCGATGCCTCTTCTGCTTCTTCCCCTGGGCAGCTGCCTACTCATGTTTGTCGTTAACCTGTTTTGTTCCAGATGCCCCCACCAGTGAGAACGCCAAGGCCCCGGAGATGAAAGCCCGGAGGCCAAAGAGCTCTCTTCCTTCCGTGCTAGGAACAGAGAGTAAGTACTCGTTCAGCCCTTCCAGGCAAAGCCGGGACTGAGGGCCGGCCGCTTCCCTGCCTGTGCTCCTCGGAGCCTGGACCCTGCCACCACCCTGGTGCCCTGTGAGCTCCCGGTGACCGAGCCACTGGCCTTTTCTCACCCCTCCCACCTCTCCAAGGCCTGAGTAGTGCTGCACATCCACATCCTGTGGCATCGTCACTCAGGCCTCTTCTGCTTCCCACCAAGAACCCTGGGAGACCTTCCCCTAATCTCTCCCAGTTGAGTCTTTCCTGCCACATAGACCTTCTAACACAGTGGCTCTGATCAGATCACTCCTGGTTGGAGTGCCCAGCGGTCCCCAGAGCCCACCAGTCCCGTGGAAGTGAACCCCTCACACGTTGCCATCCTGGCATACCTGCCACGTGTGAGCACACATTCTGACATCCAGCCTCAGCCTTTCTTTCCAAGCGTTGCCCCCCAGCTCCTTACTCCCGTTTCATCCTCAAGCCAAACTGAGCTCCTCTGTGTGCACCGGACATCCCTGTGTTCCTCCCTTTGTGCCTTTGCTCTGGCACCTCTCTTGTGGGACAGGCTCCCACTGAAAAGTCATCTCATCCCTGAGCTCGTCTTTGCTCCAGCTGAAAGGAACTCTTCCCTCCCGTGAGCCCCCATAGCACTCAGCATCCCCCTTCTGCCATTGGCTGTCCTCTTCCCAGGGTCACGGTGACGTGTCTGTGTCTCATCCTCCTTCCTCCTTTTTAAGTTCCGTGGGCCTCCAGCTGGGCCAGCGTAGGGGTGCACCTTTCAGGATGCCAGCGCCGTGACCTGCTCATAGAAAGGCCTTACCACCATCTCTTAGAACAAGCTTGCAGCTGTGGTCTAATAGCCAAGCAGGGAAGGGGCTTCTCCTATGACTCTGCCTGGCTCTCTCCCTCTTTTTGCATCCTGGCTTCCCCCAGAACCCGTTACAAGCTTTTAGGCACTGTGCCTAGGGTCCACGGTGCTTTTAGGCCCACAAAAACATTTCAATATCTTATAAAATGAGGGGAAAATTTAACTTTTAGGTCAAAGAAAATGTTTTAATTCATAACATTAATATATTCATCTTTATACCAGTGCAGTTGTAAAATATAATTTATGTATGTATGTATGTAAGTATATACTTTTTGTTTTTCTTTAGTGAAGGGAAGGAGCTTTCAGAGGCAAAAGTGCTTAGACTCCACAAAGGTCATAACGCAGCCCTGGCTTCCGCTACTGATTAATTATCGGTCTGATTTTGTTAGAAGTATGCTTCGAAACCTCCAGTTTTAACAAAAGATATGGGGTTGCTTGGGCATCCCCAACACACTCTGTGTTTTAAAAGAGCAAAAGGCAAGACAAACTCTTAATGACCGATACTAATAAAGGGAAGTGAGCTAGATTAATTCAAAGGCTGCCTCTCTTTTTCCGTTACAAGGCAGTGTTCTGTAACTTAGTTTGTCCTCATCTCTTCACCTATTTACCTTCCCAATGAGGAGTTTTTACCAGCCAAGCTTTTGGGGGTGGGGAGCACGCTCAGCCTTCAGTGTGACAGGGCAGCCAAAGTGGAATGATAATTTCTCATGGATATTTATTTATTTTTTTTGTCTGTGTTGGGTCTTCGTTTCTGTGTGAGGGCTTTCTCTAGTTGTGGCGAGCGGGGGCCACTCTTCATCGTGGTACGCGGGACTCTCACTGTTGTGGCCTCTCCCATTGCGGAGCACAGGCTCCAGACGCGCAGGCTCAGTAGTTGTGGCTCACGGGCCTAGTTGCTCCGCGGCATGTGGGATCTTCCCAGACCAGGGCTCGAACCCGTGTCCCCTGCATTGGCAGGCAGATTCCCAACGACTGTGCCACCAGGGAGGCCCTCTCATGGATATTTAACCACTGGGAGCCTCCAATTATCAAAAGTCGACGTTTAATAATAAGTTGTTGACAATGCATAAACAATTCTAAGAAAAACTTGGTGAGAATGGGTTAATGATTTTATCTTCCGAAAGGATTTCTTGGGCCTGTGTTCTATTTAGTTACGGGAAAAAGTCCTCGGGAGAGACATGGGGTCTCATAAGAGCGCCAAGTGCTGGTGAACTGGGTCTGATGCGATTGTTCTCCTCTCCTGGGGGCAGAAGCAGGAGTGCCTGGAGTTCGAGCTGGGAGGTCAGCAGCCTCCTGTCCTCAGCTCTGGCACATCTATTCCGGTGAGATCCCGAGGGAAGTGAGGTGGGGTCAGAGGAGAGCCGTGAAAGAGAAAAACAAACTGGAGATAGTGAGCAGACCCGGGACCTGGGCTCTTTGCCCTGGAGAAGAGAAGGCTGTGGAAAACCCCAGCCAAGCTGTCATCGTGCAGTTCCAGGGCAGGGGCCCTCGACCCTGGCTGCATGTTAGGTTCACCTGGGGAGCATTTAAAACCACTGCTCCCTGCTGCACCCCAGACTAATTAGATCAGAATCTCTGGCAGTGGGATCCCGGCTTCAGTGTATGTTTATGCTCCTGGGCCATTCCAAGGTGCTGTCAGCCAGGTTGGAAACTAGCTGTCCAGAGGGAAGCCCGGTGCCCTGGCACCGCTGGTCTTGAGAAGCAGAACCGGGTCTAACTCTTCTAACTCCATTAAATGTGGAACCACCGCGGGCCCCTGGCCCAGGTCCTCAGGGCATTTCCATCACCTGCCTTTAGGGAGAGAGCAAGATGCTCTGGTGGAGTCTGGGCGCCATGGTTCTTTCCCCTCCGAAGGGTGCAGAGAAGGGGGCTCAGTGGGCAGTGCTGTTCAGAGGAAGGGGCAACTGCAAGTGCTTCATCTCCGTGGCAAACAAACACATTCGTGACTGCATCAACTCCAGCTGACACTGCTTGTCTGCTGAAGGGGAATTTCACTCTGTGTAGAAAGCCTTCACGGTGGAGTTACAGACAGATGTCTTACTCCCAAAAGAATGGAGGTGTGTGTCTCTATGTATAGTAATGGCCATGTTGAATCCCTCTGCCGGCCCACGCCTCCTGGCCCCCATCATCCCAGCCTGTCACTCCCTGGGGCACTGAGAGCATTAGCAGCACTTTTCCTTCGAAACCTGCAGAGTTTCCTGGGTGCCTGTGTACCAGTGTGGGGCTTCCTTCCCAGGAGGCTCCTGAGAAGGCAGCTGCCCAGAGATAGGGAATGAAGGGGGTGTCTTTTAGGCCTGCACCCCCAGTTCTTTTCTCACTTTGGGGGATAATTTATATGATTTATCAATTACATAAGTTAAATATGCATGCCTTCTTGTTTCAACATTTTAACTAGTACAGAAGTTTACCAAGTACAATGTGAAAGCCCTCTTTCATCTTACCCCTAATTTCACTCACCTCCTCAAATTAATGCACAATTACTTTTTTCTGAATATTCACATATACACATGCAAATATCTCAGTTGGATTTTTTTCTCACAGAAATGGAATTATGCAGCCTGTACACCTCTGCAACTTGCCTTTTTCTCTTAGCATTGCCGTCCCCAGTCCCAGACATCTCTGTTTCCATGAGAAAGCCCAGATTCTCACGTTGCTGAGTGGTCTGGCTGTGTATGTGTGTTCATTTTCATCAAGGGCTGGGAAGTACCTAATCTAAGCAGGAAATCCATCTTTCCTCCAGTGACTGAGGGAAGGCTGAGTGGTTTCCTAGTCAAATAGATGGTGGCCAGATCCCTGTCTGCATGCCCTCCCCTCCCCAGCTCGGATGTTTGGTCCTGTGAGGGAGCTGTCAGGTGTGAAAGTAGATAATGCTTGTCTACACTGGCCTGAGAGCCCCCAGGGGCACCGCTGCTGCCTAGCTCTGGGGAGCGTGAGGGAAAAGCCAAGCTGATTTGCCCAAACCCAAGGGGCCGGATGAGAGAAAACTGACGAGAGTACAAGTTAACCTGACAGACACCAACTCACAGGTACAGAAGTGAGGAGGGGGTCATCTGGGAAGGTTTGGGGATGAGGGAAACGCTAGGCCAGGTTATGAAAGAGGAGAGGAATGTGGTTTCGTTGAGGAGGAGCTGTAACACTCCTCTTGTGAGGGGAGACTGGAGGGAGGAATGCACAGGTATTATCGTGAGGGCCTCCGATTCAGTCACCTGCCCATCACACAAAACAAGAGTTTTTTGAGCACCCATGCAACAGGCATCATCTTAGCCACTCAATCTATGTCACTTCAGGCAAGTCTTATTCAACTGAGCTACAAATAGTTGTTCCCATTTTACAGATGAGCAAATCTGAGTCTTAGAGAACTAAACTATCTTGCCCAGAGTCTCACAGCTCACAGCTAGTTACATGTGGGCACTGTGAGGGCAACCCTGATCTCCGTTCCTCCCACGCCACCCTGTGCCTTCCATAGTCTCAGGGCCATCCCTTGTGCTGTCCACACAGTGGACACTGTCCACCAGTGGGGACAGAGATCTGCTACCATCAGAGCTGGGGGAGAAGAGTGTGACAGCCGGCGTGCTTCCCTGGATCTTGAGACCTGTCAGGGTCTTTGCTGCATGCCTCTCAATGGGAATTTTTTTCTAACTTTATTTTGATATAATTTCAAATTTACAGAAAAGGTGCAAGAATAGTACAAGAAACTCTTGTACACCCTTTACTTAGATTCATCAATTATTTGCATTTTGTTCCATTGTTTTGTCGTTCTCTGTGTATAAACTCATATATATATACACCATTCATCAAATATTCATATCTAGGTATCTATATACACTGTATATATACTATATATACACTATATCTGTTCATATATATTCACCATTCATCATATAGACGTATATATACCATTTACAAATAGAGACATCATGCCCTTGATCTCTAAATATCTACTGTGTATCTCCTAAGAACATAACCACAATGCGATTATTAAAATCAGGACATTTAACATTGAACCGATACTGTTTAACCCATGGTCCCATATTCAGTTTTTGTCTATTGTCCCACTCTCCTTTATGGCTGCTTTCCCCCATCTTGATGGGAATTCAGTCTCAGCACTCCTGGAAAACTTTATG